AAATGACAATAGTATTTTATTATAAACTAAAGGATAAAAAATAAATATCTGTGAGTCTATACTGATATAGGTAAGCAAATAACTGAGGGAGAAAAGACAGGTCTTTCTGTGGGAATGGATAAAGGAGAATATTTCATTAGGACACCACAGTAATGACTGCTGCAGGCAGGAGTCACGGAGGAATGCTCAAATTAATGAGTGAAACTTTAAGGAGAAACAGGATATTTGTATAGCCTTAAAATAGCTCTAGAGAAACTTACTGATTTCTGTGGTAGTTTTAGTAAATGTCCACATAATCTTTGATACCCTTCCTTCCAGGAAGTGGAGCTTACTTCCCTTTTTGCTGAGTGGGGCTGGGTTTGGTGACTTGTAACTAACCAATGGAGTATGGAAGGGAGAAAAATAGTCACTTTACAGCAGAGAAGCCTGGCAGATACCACCTTAACAAAGCAGTCAGGGTCAACATAAACCACATTGATACCTATACCCCCAGATATTATGCAGTGAGAAGGGCACTTCACCTTTCATGCATTTTCTCCCAAAATCCATAATCTCAAGTCTAATCATCAGAAAACCCCAAATTGAGGAACATCCTACAGATATCTGACTAATTCTCCCCAAGAGTGTCAAGGACAATCTGAAAAACTGTCACAGATTAGAAGAGAGCATGGAGACCTGACACTTAAATGCAATGAGTTTTCTTGGGCTGGATCCTTGAACAAGTAAAGGCATTAATGGGCAAACTGATGAAGTCTGAATGAAGTCTGTAGTTTAGTTAATGGTGTTGTAAAATATGAACATTAGGTGTGACTGAAATTCTGGAACTCTATACTACCTTGACAATGTTTCTGTAACTCTAAAATTATTTCAAAATTGAAACTAAAAAACAACAATCACAACTCACTGGTGCCTTCCCAATTCTAAGGATTTTTTTTATTTTAAAGTGTCCCCAGAGCAAATAGTTCAGAGAAATCTCCCTCCCCTCAAGCCTCTGTGCAGTTTCTCTAAAAGAAGCATGAGCTCTTGATAAGAAAACAGTTGGCACAGAGCAAGGGCAGTAAGGTTTAGAGGCTTTTGTCCCACTAGAAATAGAAACCTGTCTTTGCCTGCTCTGTGCAGGTGCCCACCCATGGTTGTTGGCACCAATTCCACACCAACAGGAACCCCCAATTTGGGGTGCAGTGAAGGACACTTTATTTAGCATAAGCAGATCAATTGTGATACATGTGAGATAACCATGGGGCTAGGCCCCTCTCTAGCTAACCTAGCAATTTTCAACCCGTGGGACCCAGGAATTTTTAAAACATGCAATACCTGACTATTTAGTCAGGGTCACTGACCTCTTTTCCCTTAGATTGTCAAATAATAATAATAATTTTAAAAAGGCAGCCAACACAACCAAAATTATACCTATTGTTTTTGTCAAATTGGCAAAAAATACATTTTTTGGTGTGCCATAGAATTTTAGTAGTTTATATGTGTCATGAGATGAAAATGACTAAAAATCACTGAGCTAGTCATTTGTACTCTGCTCCATGCTGGTCTGCTCTGCCCTGCTTCAGTGAGACACCTTTGGTGTTTCAGCTCCCGCATTTCCCTGGCTGGAGTTGAAACACCAAAAATGTCTCACTGAAGCAGGGCAGAGCAGACCAGCATGGAGCAGAGTACAGTTGTCTAGCTCAATGATTTTCAAAATGCAGTCTTCAGTGGAAAGGGGAAGTATGGTCCCAGAGCCAAAGGAGAACTGACATATATACACAGAAGTCCCCAACCCTGGACCCTGATTGGTCTATTTTCATGCAAATGAGTTCTCCAGATTCTCACAGTTTGGTCTAAAAGGCACTGTTCTGATTGGTCAGTGAAGAAGCTGGTGGGAGTTGTGCATCTTTGATGGATGGCAAAAGTTTCAGTCCTATTGGTTGAAAAAGGATTCCAGGAACTCGGGGCTGAATCAGATGGCAGAAACACAGTGCAGGTGGGCAGTTAGTTCAGTGCAGGCTTCTCCCTAAAGTGCAGTTTGCATGAAAGCCCCCCTATCCCACCCCCACCCCCATGTAGAAATGGCTACTAGGCTGGAGATTTTGTTTGTTTGTTTGTTTGTTTGTTTGTTTCAGCCCAGTTATCTAGCTACTGGGAGCCCTTTTTGTTAGATGTTTTCTTTCTCAAGATCCACACAGGTCAGTTTAGCCAACACTGATAGTTTGCCTTTTGTGAGTTGGTAATGTGCCTAACCACCTAGACTACAAAAAGTATTCTGTAAAACAGTGCAGAGTGGAGCAACTGTGATTCTACCTGCCTTAGACCCTGCATTCCAGGTATTATCATTGAGCTGCTAACTTAAAATCTCCAGAGGCATTAGATTCACTTTCATCTGACTGTCTCTTAACCCCAGACAGTCATTGGTAGATTCCAATAGTATTAAAAGTGTGTATTAAAAGTAGTATTAAAAGTGTCCATTGCTCTTCTTTTTAAAACAACAGTAAAATATAGCTGAAACCGGTTTAGCTCAATGGATAGAGCATTGGCTTGGGGACTGAAAGGTCCCGGGTTCGATTCTGGTCAAGGGCATGTACCTTGGTTGCGGGCATATCCCCAGTAGGGGGTATGCAAGAGGCAGTTGATTGATGACTCTCTCTCATCGATGTTTCTAACTCTCTATCTCTCTCCCTTCCTCTCTGTACAAAATCAATAAAATATATTTAAAAAAATAAAAATAAAACAACAGTAAAATATAGTTAGATGTGATTATAGGTACAGATGTGAAATCCTGATTTATGAATATTTTATTCTTATTATTTTCAAGTTCTTATTAACTCAGACTAGGATAACCAGAGGTTATTGTAGAAGTCCTAATGGAGTCTGCTTTAGTAAATAATAATATGCAGTAGGCTGAGAATGAGTATTGCCATAGCAATAAATTAGAATTTGGATAGTAAAGTTAAACTCCTCCTCTGTGTGCCAGTCATTCTCTTGATATGACATTAGGGAAAACTGGTTTACTTTGTGCACCTATGGGAGGTATTGTTTTCACCAGTTAAATATATTTTACCATCTGATCATTTGAGTACCTTGCAGTGTGTATGTCTTAGCAATATAACTGGTGTGATCATGAAGGACAATGTGCTGTTCTTGAACATGGAAATAAGGTTTGGTGAGTGTAGTGGAGGTGTATGCATTTTCTGAAAAGCTCTGTTTTCCAGATTGTTAGTGCATGCCCAAGTAGATACACAGACACTTAATAATAGTGCTTAATTGCTGTAGTCAGGTTGAGCAACACATAAATTTATAGCAATTCAGAAACCAGGAACACAAGAATGTTTTTTAGCCCAATGATAAAGACTGACTACAATTGCTAGTCAGTAAAGTACAGACTGCATATTGTGGGTAGCAAACCATTCTTATAGAATGCATATGGTACAGTTTTCTTGACAGTTGCTTCCAAAGTGTACTTTTCCATGTCATCCTGGTTTCTTTAATAAATTTCATTGTAAGGTAGTTGTTTTTTTATTTTTTATTTAAATAAGCAATGTTTCACTTCCCAATTTTATATTTAATTATGAAGTTTACCAGTTGGCTACTATGTGCCAGGCACTTTCACTTATTATTTTTCCAGTATCTTAGTAAATTAGAAACTCCTTTGCCCATTTTAGAAATTAGAAAATGGAAACCATGAAAGGTTTATAAACTTATTTCTGTTTGATCCTACATATGGTTTAACATAACTGGGTTTCCTCACTGAATTAGTTGCCTAATACTTGAATATAGATAATGTATCAAATTAAAAGAGATGGATCCCTATGAAGGACTGGGGTAGAATTGAGACTAGAACAATGAATATCTGAGAATTAATTTAGCAAGTTTGATAAGTGGAACATGACTGTTTTGGGCAGGTCTGGTTCCAGAGCCAATGAATGTACTGGACCTATTGGATTTGTTGAAAATGCAAATAGTCCAATTAAATGTAATATTCATTAAGGGAAGAAGAATACAATTTGAAAGCTTTTATGAAGACATGTACTGCCTAATCTGTGAATTGAAAGCATCTTTTAAATTTGCTTCCTTCATATTCCTAGGTGGTAGTGAAAATGTGGGTAGAAAAATGAGAGCATTTCAAATAATGCTAATGAAGTTAAATGATTGCAATCTTCCATATTGTGAGGGAAAGTTGTTAGCTGGGAAAGATGAGGACAGAATTAAAATATTACCATGACTGGCATTTGATTTGAAGACTGCAAAGATAAGCTTAGGTTCCTATTTATGAAAACCATCCTCACAGTCTGATGAAATATTTTTTAAAAGGTTTTATAGTTGCCATGGAAACTTGTTAGCTTTGATGGAGTAAGTTGTAATCCATATTTAATCATCTGAGATGAAGTAGCCAAAAAAATCTACCAAGTAAAATTAAAAGTAGCTTCATCTCTAATCTTATACTAGTTTGGAGGGATGGAAAGGGTAATAAATAGCCTAAAGATTAGATTTTTGGTTAATTATTGCTGCTTGAAAAACAAGATATTTAGGATTCACATTGCCTGAATGCGATTCTGATGTTACTCTTTATATGTTACTATTTCTTTTAAATGGTATTTTTTTTAGGTTTTGACATAGAAATTTAGATGGTGAGACCTTTCTGAAAGTTGATGAAATGTAAGCAACAGATTCAATTTCTGAAAGCCATAGGGACATAGATAATATTGAAGACATTGATTCCTATGGTAACACATTTGCCTTTGGCCCCAAAGTGGCTGGTATTTGCTTAGCTTCCTTTAATTACTATATATTGACAGCTGTTTTTCACAATTATAAAATGTCAGATTAATGAACATATGTACAAGGGCGTATGTACATAGCCTTAGGTTTGATTAGACATCTCACATGACGAAGAGGTCTGCATGAAGAGTTCCTGAGATGTTTTTGGCATTTCCTAATGTGTCTGTCACATAGTGGGAGCTAAAATCCTTTCAAACGTTTCAAATATTATCCTCAATTCTCTTTTAAAACAGGTGACAAAAGATCTAAAACAGTATGACAACAAAATTATAGAATGCAAATTTGAGAACAACAGCTGGGTCTTCATGAGACAGAGAACAGACAAAAGTTTTCCTAATGCCTACAACACTGCCATGGGTGAGTGTGACAACCTACCAATGCTTGTTCCATTACCAGCAAAGCATGCTGCCTCTCTTGCTCTTGGGCAGAGTCATGGGAGCCTGTCCTTCCTTGCTCGCTGGGATCAGGTTGTGTCAGGTCTACCCCCTGGTCGGCTCTGGTTGGTCTGTAGGTTCTCCTCTTTAGATAGGGCTTGTGCCCATGTGTCCAAGAGGGAAGCTTAAAGGGCAGGATGACGGACTGTATACAAGTTGAATTTATTGAACAACAAGAGTCATGATAATTTCAGTTCTATTCAAAACTATAGCCATTGTTTGCCAGATGGTAAATGACTAAATTAGCAGGGGGGGAATGTAATTTCCAGCTCCTAAAATAGCTCTACAAACAATGGAGAACGAAGTAAATGAAAGCTGTTAAGAAACAACACCCTAAACCAGTGGTCACCAACTGGTGGTCCAAAAAGTTGGCGACTGCTGCACCTGCTCTGCTATCATGTAGGGTGATCTTTGGGGACAGTGTGAATGCTTTGGGGATTCAGAATAGTAAGTGTCTGTCCTGGGGAACAACACAAACAGTAAATCCAGCTGTTGCCCTGGATTGCATTTTTAGAGGAGTTTGGAAAAAAAGATAAAAACCAAGATTAAAGGTCAGTAGAATAGCATATTTCTAGAGTGCTCAGTCAGTGGTGATGATGATTAACGATAAGATTATGAGAAAATATAGAAATTGCCAGTTTGAGTTTTGCAGCTTAAAAGTTACTGTTGAACTTAGCAGATAAGTTCAAACAAGGTGAGTTAATTCTGAAAATTGTAATAATTAAGCCAGTATCTTTCCCCCCCCAAAAAACCAAATTGGTAAGTACAATTAAAAGGACTGGTACTAAATTTTGATTACATAAGAAAATTTGCTTTTTTAAATTAGTAATTTTACTTCAAACAAGTTATTAAAATAATATTACCTACCAGCTACAGTGAAACCTGCCTGTTCAGTGGGAATGGCTGCTGATGCTGAGCTGTATACTTTGCAGTGTGGACTGTTTTCTGAGAAAGATTGGGCTGTAGCACATATTTTTTGTAGAAATTTTAGTTGAGTATGGTCTATAATGTGATGCACTATGCTAGGTTAAAATCCTGTAACAACTATTTGGGGAGACAGAAAACCATAGTGGATATATGTTTATAACCCAAGTACTTAAAGTTTTAGTTTAAAATTAATACTATAGTAATGAATAGCTACTGGAAAAACTCTTTTGGAGGGTGGGAGAGGGAAGAAAGTAGTTTAATCTGAAGCATGTCACTCAAGTCAGTAAAGTGGGGGTGTTTAGCATAATGGAAGGGAAACCTTTCCCCTTTCTCATCTCCCTGTGGTGAGCCCACTGCCTTAATTATCCCTCACGCGAGACACGTGTCTTCCTTTGTCCACAGCTGTATGCAACAGCATCTCAAACCCTGTCACCAAGGAGATTCTGTTTGAGTTCATTGACAGATGTGCAGCTTCTCAGGGACAGAAACGAAAGCATCATCTGGATCCTGACACGGAGCTCATGCCTCCACCACCTCCCAAAAGACCTCGCCCTTTGCCCTAAGTCCGCCTCTGACTTCAGGATTGAGAGGAGAGATGAACGAGAAAAATGCTGTCGCCTCATTTGCAGCCCGAGAAATTCAACAAACAATGTGGCTTGATGTTGATACACATTTGAATTTTTTTAAAAGAAAAGTATTGTAGCCAGGTTGTAAATATTTGACTCATTTGTTTTCTTAGTGCTACAATAAATACATCATGGACATAAACATTTTATTTATATTTGATAAACCCAGCCTTACCTTGTGGAATCTGAAGATTGAAATATCCAAAGGTTTGAGCAAGATTGAAATCAATGAAAAAGAGGCCTTGTTTATATATGGATAACTTCTACCTTTAACTTATAAAATTAGCAATCTGGAACTGTGAGCGCCAAAACACTATATTTTTTAGAAGTTACATTTCAGCTATGGTAAATTTTCCTTTTAAAAAATTTAGGCAGTGGCATTAAACATTCTTCCTATCCTTTATCATGGATTTTCTCCATATCTGGCATTCTTGTGTTCAAAAACAATGACAAGGTTGTTAAGTAATGCATATATTAAACATTGTGGTCTGGCTTTATCATTTTAAGAGTTATTTGTGGACATGTAAAAGGAAAAAGGGACCCTCTGTTTTGTGAACTGCCTCTTCTCTAAGGAAGAGCACTGAGTACCTGTCTGCACCTGCTTCTGTTGTGTGAGCTACAGTGCCAGATCTCCTGTGTGCCAGTCTGGCCGTGGTTTGGGGTTTCTTCATAGAACTTAGATCTACACCACCAGACCCTTCACCCTATTGCTCCCTGGGAGACATTTTTTTAAATGCCAGGGCGACTGCTTTACCTCAGTGGTATCAGCACATTGTAAACTACATTAACACACAAAACTCACTGTGATTATAGGAGTGGTATCAAACACAAGCAGTGCTGTGTGAGTTCCCTCGAACAGAACAGCAATAGAAGTGCCAGCCGGCTCCATGGTCAGGAAGGAGTGTGAGTGGAGCAGCAGCACGCTGCCGCACCGCTCCTTTCCCACTGCCACGCAATGCAGGGGCACAGACCTGGCACCGGTAGGAACTAAACTTCAAGGAAGCCAGGACATTTCTTTTCAAAGCCAGGATTCTATGTACATTTTCTCCTGGCAAAGTTATTTCTGTTGTATGTCTGAATTTTACAAAGTTTACTGGTAGATAATGGGTTTAAAGAGCAGCTAATTGGCCATCTGCCATTGTTGAGAAACCACGTTCTGATTGGTTTGTGAAGGAACTGAGAATCAGCCCATTAGAGGCTATTGTATTTATTTTTAGAGATACAGGTTTTAAGTATGTGTATTTTAAATTTTTTTCATGGCCTGAGTTTTATACATATCTCTGTATATATATATATACACACACATACATACATATACATATACATACATGTGAGTGTATGCAGCAGTGTATATTCTTCTACTAATGCAGTCAGAAATGAAAATCCAAATGACTTACCTAGTAGACTGAATATCTGATAAGATTTGTATATGTGATAGCACAAAATGTATTTACATTCACCTAAGTTTAAATGTTTTTAAACAAAGTTTTCTCCTCCAGTGCTTTTCTATATGAAATAATAGCGTCATGCTCAGGTGTTTTCTTTTGTTGTCCCCAAGTTATGTAATGTATAGTGAATTTATCCAAAATGCCATTTTAGGTATGCTCTTGTGTGTGTGGGCGCTGAAGGAATTAAAACATCCAACAGTCACATGACTAGAGAGGTGGAGATTTGTCCAGGTGCCATAGTGTCTTGTACAAAACGGACCTAAAAAACACCAATGCGACTCCAAATAGTCTGATGCCTCCTTCACCCGGATTAGTGACTTTTCACATCATATGTTGCTTTCTCCTGAGCCTGGGTAAATGCAGAGCCCTTTTCCTGATGTAAGAGCAAGCTTTTGCCAGCGATCTTTAATGGAGTTAAATGTTTATGGTAATTGTAACCTTTTAAATGAGTTATGTGAAAAGAGCATCTCATTTTTAATACAGCCAGATATTTTCTCCTTGCCATTGTACATTTTCTAGCAGTTAACTTTCTTAATCTTTCTTTTCAACTATAGTGAAGTGTAATAGTTGGCCTTATAAGTAAACCCATGTGGCCCCTGAACACACTACCACCCGCAGTGTCATGAAGAGTCATCTGGAAAGTCAGAGGGGAGGGCGGGAGGAGGAGTGGTGGGACCTGGAGCCAGGATTGGGGACATCAGGAGGGAGACACTTCCCTTCTCAGCTCACTTCACATACCCATTTTTTGACACGGAAGTTTTGTAGGTAAGAAAATTTTGCTTTTCTGACTTATCACATATAAAAGCTTTTGCATTGTGTTTGGAAAGATGTGGCTGACTCGACTACCTGGATGATTACATTTGCTTTCTGTGAAATGCTCAGAAAATGTCAGGACATTCCTTCTCTGATGTGTCAGTGTGAATTGTAATAAAACTTCTGACTTAAAACAACAGAAAGTGTATCTACTTTGTGTTGCTTGTGACGGACGTCTTTGTGTCTTTTTAACTGATGCTGTTATGCCCCTTCTATTGCTGGCATCAGATTCTCCTGCTGTCAGCCAGACCCAACATGATCTATCTGGTTGTGTCACATCCTAAAAATTAGCATAAGATGTGGAAAATCCTCTACTTTTCTTCCTGAGAGACGAAGAAATTTGAATGGCTTTGGGGGATATAGTTTGCACCTTTTGTTTTGGGAGTGGGGGGGAATGTAACCTAAGGCCACAGCTGGTAGGTTGTGCACTGAGACACAAGCTCTGATGACTCACACAGCACTCCCCTGAAGGCTCGCTCCAGCGCCTGTGTGAGGATGCTTCCAGGCCAGGGTCCCAGCTCACTGACATCGTTTCTTGGGTAATAGGCATCTAACACCTCTCTCCCAAACAAGAAGAGGAAGTTGGGAAAAGGGAAGTAAATACAGTTTTAAGACCTTAACTACCTGCTTAACAATATTTAAATGTGAATGATGTGGAGACCATGAAAATAAATTAAAATTTTTATTAACATGCTGAATTCCAAAGGTATAATTGGGATGAAATAAGTGATAAAATTATATGCTGGGCCAACATGGTTATTGCATTAGCTGCCCACTCTGACGCTTTGGCAAGCCGGTGTCAGTCTTGGTGAGCCGAGTGTGCCCTTCCCATGGACTCCAGTGATTGGTGACCGCTGTGCACGGTGAGGGAGGCGGTGGAGGTGGGCACTCGGGGGAGGGTGTTCAGAAAGTTCACATTTCCAAATATTAGTGCGCAGATCTGGGATTGCAGCTGTTTTGCTACTCTGTTAAAGGATATTTACCAAAAATCCCATTGCCATCATTTCATAAAATAAAGGAAAGCTTAACACCCAAAAAAGGAAGGAGGGCATAATTTAGAAGACAGGGCACACCTTTACATAGAACAAATTTTGTTTTATGAAAGACTTGCTACACAGTCCTTTGCTGCTACATTTCACCCCAAACCGGTGAAAACTTTGTCATGGGCCAGCGGTGGGGATCACTGTGTGGCTGAAATTCCAGGCAGCGGCTTGCAGGTGGGGCGGGGCCAGGAAGACCCTCAGGGAAGAAGCAGCCCCTGGCCCCATAGCTGCAGGTCACTTTTATAGCCAGAGGTGACCACAGGAAGATTTCCTCACAATACTTTATCATATTGTGCTCTTGTGATGAAAGGTGTGGAGGTGAAAAATGAAATGATCTGAATGTTTAAAGCTACCCAAATAGAATGACGCCCTCAGCTGTGTGAGATACCAAAATAAGCATGGCCAAATACAACCCAGAAAAGCAGAATTTGACAACAAATCACACCAGGAGAGTCACTAGTCTTCATAACTTTGAGGTTGGCAGACAGTCTGTTTTTCCCTCAGACCATTGCCACCCAGTGATCTTTTAACTCTGCAAACCTGCTCCTGTCTTCCTCTCCAGTGAGGTCCCGGCCCATGAAACAGGTCCTCTGAGCCCTGGCCAGGTGGCTCAGTTGGTTGAGTGGTATCCTTGCACTGGAAGGTTGCCAGTTCGATTCCTGGTTGGCGCACATGGCCAGGTTGCGGGTTCAGTCCCTGGTTGGGGTGCATGCAGGAGGCAACCAATCAAGGTTTCCCTCTCTCCCCCCTTCCCTCTCTCGTTCTACCTTCCTCTCTCTGAAATCAATGGAAACATTTTTTTAAGAAAAGGACTCAGCCTGTATGTGCAGGTGTCGATCTCATGTCTGCTTTGTGATACAGCTGTGTGACTCCTTTTTCCAAAATGCCTCCTCTCTGTACCCAGAAACCCCCAACCTCCTTTAATTTCAGGATCAAGGGGGCCTTCCTGTCACAGATCCCGTCCTAGATCCCCCACTGTCTTGTGATGGTCTTCCCTAGTTTCCCCTCCAGACAAGAGACCGTGTCATCTCTGTGACCCAGAGCACGGGGCTTGGCCACAGTGTGCACTCGGTCATCATTAGGGCAGTAAGTTCCAATGCCCTTTTGTACGTGCTGTGGAGACTCCGTCCAGATGTGTTTGCTGTTGCCTCCTTCAGTTCTAGCCTCATCACACTAGAAGCACCAATTACAGTTCTTATTTCTTCAAAGGCCGTCTCTGATGCATCTTGCATTTAATCTGATTAGAAGCATCCAGTCTCTTCTTGCCTTCTGCTCTGAAAGCGAGTGCATCAGAGGGAAACTTCTCGCAGAAAGAACCGGAAGCAAGTGCCTGTGACACACCGAGGGAGGTGTGAGGCGAGGAGTGTTTCTAATCATGTCTCATTTTTTAATGCCGTTTCACTGAGCTTGCCGCACCTTAAACTAGAAGGCTGCTTCTCCCTACCCACCTGCTCCCGCCCAGCTTCTGATGCTGTCCTAGAGAAGCCCTTTGATAACTGCTGAGGCTTTTGTTACTTTTAAAAATAAATACTTGGTATGAGTTGGTGCTTCCAGCCATGCTGTTACTAGCAGAGGGAAGAAGGCAAGTGAAGATGTTCTTGCTGCTACTAAAGAATTCTGTTTCCCAGGTTCTAAAGGAATAAGAAACAGTACAGTTTCTGTAGAAGTTCTGCTTCCCTCCCGAAAGCTGCTAGGGAAACATTGCATAGTTTTGATCTGCAGTTTAAACACACAGCGTGCTCTGATACACAATGAAGGCGAGGGCGACAGGGACCCCAATTAAGGCACTCCACAATCAAATCTCTGCGGTAAAAATTATTGGGAAAAAACTGCTTGTAGGTAGAAACTGCACATCTGGAGACATCACAATACAGTTGGGCTGATGGAGGGGTGGGGAGTGACCTAGGCCTTGGTGGATGGTTGGCTGGATGGGAAAGGGGTGGTGTGGACAGAAAACCTGGGGAAGGGTGCCTTGGAGGGTTGGTCTAGAGCTTGTGTGAAGGACAGTGGCTGTAATCACTCCATCTTCAACCAAGCAGCCATCTGTCCTTGGCTATTTGGCCTTCTAGTTACTAAGCCATTCCTCTTTCCCCTTTCCTGCAAAACTCCCAGAAGGGGAGGGTTTCACTTGTTCAAGCCACACCCTTCCCTCCCATTCTCTCTCGAACCCACTGCCAGCTGGCTCTCCTCTCTGCTGAGACTGCTCTCGTCACTGCCACCAGCGCCCTCTATGGGGTCAGATCCACTCTCCTAATGGACCTGTCAGCACCATCAGCATTTGACAAGTTTCTCATTCCCTGTTTTGTTGTTGTTGTTCTTTTGCTTTTGTTTTTGCTCTTTTTTAATGAGAAATTTCAAACACACAAAAGTAAGGAAAATGATAGCATGAACTCCTGTCTACCCAGATATAGCAATGATCAATCTCTGGTAGTTCTTGTTTATTTATACACCAACTAATCCCCCACTCTCCTACACACACACACACACACACACACACACACGCACGCACGCACGCACATTGTTTTAAAACAGATCACAAGCTACGCTCTCCTTGTTGAACCCTTTTTGCACTTGGCTTCCAGACCACTACAGTCTCTTGGTTTTCCCTCCTTCTACCTATTGGTCTCTTGCTGAACTTCTTCACCTGCTCAACCTCTCCGGGTTGTAATGGCCCAGGCCAGTCCACTGGCCTCTCTGCACTCTCAGCAATCTCTCCTAATCTCAGAACACTAATATCATCCACACACAATTTCCAAATTTATTTCTAGCCTGGGTTTTTCTTGTGAACTCTATCCAGCTGACAGACTGACATCTTCACTTGGATGTCTTGTCATCTCAAACTTGATACATGCAATTGCTGTATTCTCCTCCTCCTGTAGACTTCCTTCCCTTCCCACACTCTTCTTATGGCGCTTAGTTAATGGCAATTGCATTTTTTTCTAGTTGCTCTAGAATCATCCTTAATTCTCTTCTTTCTCTGACACTTCATGTCCAATCCATCAGCAAATGCTGTTGCCACTACCTTCAGACTACAACCAGAATCTGACAGCTCCTCAATCTCCCCACCCTCTCATCCCATCTCTTGCCTAGAATATGGCAATAGCCTCCGAACTGGTATCCCAGTTTTCACTCCCACTCCCCATCCTCCCACCCACCCCAGTCCCCAGCTATTTTTCACACAGCTTGTCTGTAATATATTTTAGAACATGTCACTCAACTACTCCAAAACCTTCCAGTGCCTTCTGCATCATTCAGAATTAAATTATAAATGCATACTGTCGTTCACAAGGCCTACCTGATCTGGCTCCCAGCAGCCCCCTGGTCTCACTCATCCTCCATATTCCCTCTGCTCATCACCTGGGTCCTTTGCTGCTTTTCTAACTGCCAAGCATGTTCCCAATTGAAGGACATGGAACGTTCTCTGCTCTCTCTCTGGTAATGCTCTTCCCCTGCATATGCGTCCACAAGGCTCACTCATTTCATTAAAGTCTCCAGACAGATGCAGCCTTATCAAAAAGGATTCCCTGGGCATCTCGTCTAAAGTGCCACTCCCATCACCACCTATGTGCTCTCCCTGCTTTATTTTTCTACAAGTGCTTATGCTCTGGCATATATGTTTATTTGTTTTCCTGTTGTCTGGCTCTATTTCCTAGAATGTAAGTTCTGTGAGAACTGAGAATTTGATTTCATTCATTGCTGTATTTTCAGCATCTAGGCCAGTCTGGCACAAAGTGTAGGAATTCAACAAATATGTCTAGAATCTATAAGTGAACTTAGGTTACATAATTAGGCTGGGGACGGATCGTGAATGTCTGGCTAAGAAGTTAGACTAAATTTAATCAACAGTAAAGAGCTATTGAAAACTTTTAAACAAAGGAATTCTTTGTGGGAGTAAACTAATTTATCTGAGGAGTAGCAGAAGAAAGTTAAAATAAAAGGCTAGTTGGGAGCTTCTTGGGATACTCTAGGTGAGAGGAAAGGAGCGAGGATAGGGTGGTAGCTAAGAAATACAGGAGATGGATGTGACAGGCATTCAGGAGGCAGAATTATCGAGAGTCATCAGTTAAAAAGCAAAGTACCTTCAAGGGTTTGAG